TTCTGTTTCTGAATGGTTTCAAACTTATAACAAAATTGAAGAGACCAAGCATTTTGGAGAATTGATAAGCATAAAAGTATGCCCTGTCTCACTAGATATTTAAACATTTATCAGGTATGCAAATTAGCTGTGAAATGGAGTAATGTCCTCTGAAAATTTCTCCTTAAAAAATGGGGTCAAGCAAGATGCTGTTCTTAGTTCAATATTGTTTGCTATTTATCTACATCCATTGTTAAAAAGAGTTGAGAGCCATTATAGCTGACCAAACACGTAGTACTGTACTAAGGTCCATCTTTCCTGCTGTGCTGGTGGTCTAGTTCTACTAGTATCATCCAAAGAAGCAATGGAAACTTTATAGAAGTATGTAAATTAAATACTGTAGTGCAAAATACAACCCTAACATTCAATCCTGCCAAATGTGCTTTTGCTTTTAACTCTCGGGAATCATTTTATCAAGATCCCAGTCTAAAATTACTAGGTAGAATGATTCCAGTAGAGTATTTCAAAAAATATTTGGGGCATGTATCTTCAAAAGGCCCATTTTTTCTGATGCTATTAGATACCTGAAGGTCAGAGCAAATGCCATCCTTAGTGAATTTGGTTGTCTTTATACTTGGTCAAAATTAAATATATTTAATAATTAATGTCTAAGCTTGAATGGATATGAACTATGAGACCTACAAAATGCTGACCTTGGTAACATGATTGTGAATGGAGGAAATTGAAATTGAATTGAATTCAACTACATTGAAATCTAGATGTATCTTGGGTGTTCATCCTTGCACTCATTGGAGTCACCTACCTGGCCTGATGTCCATGCCCATACTTTATGAAATAATTCACAAATTAATATGACTACGTCTGAAGAAATTGCCCATCCTGTAAACTAGATTATTTTTTCCAGGCACGCTCTTATTACTGGCCACTCCTACTTTTTCCGAAATGTGAACTTAATTGTTATTAATACAACTTAAAATAAGATATACATACGCGCACACACATACACAGAGTGGGGCCGCGATTTACGATGGTATTCCGTTCCCAAAGACGTATTGTAAGTCGAAGCAATTTTTCCCATAAGAAATAAAAGGAATTGAATTAATACCTTCCACACCCCCAAAAATATTAACTTAAAAATACATTTTATACTGAATACAATTTTATTCTCTAACTACAAGAGAAGTCGATAGTCGACTCGATGGTAATCTAGAAAGTCGTCATCTTGGACCTTTACGTGAGTTTCTGTAATTGTACTCCATCTTAGAATATTGTGATGCATTGTGATGACGGGGTGGGCTTTTCCCCTACCTAAATTTGATCGATCATACCCTCTTCTGATGTTAACACAGGATCCAGAATGCTGTTCCCTCGAGTGGGCATTATCATCATCAATAATGCACCTATTAACGTAGCCAGACATAATGAACCCAAACCTAAAGTAACCTTAACCTAACCTAACCATGGATAGAGAGTGGATAATAACACTAATAATGTAGTCGTTCCCAATTAATTCCTTTTAGCGGATCTTCTCCCTGAGCACAGGTTGCATATTAAACAGGCGAGGGATTAAGGGAGGTGAGAGCACCACTGGGAGGGGACGGTAAGAAAGCACCACTGGGAAGGGTGATGAGAGAGTACCACTGGGAAAGGTATGCATGTTGAGAGGGTACCACTGGGAAGAGAGTCCATGGCGAGAAAGTACCACTGGGGGAAGGAAGTGGCGAGAAAGTATCACTGGGGAGTGGTGAGAGAGGAGCAATGGCAGGGAGGCGGTGAAAGGGAGAGCAGTGAGAGGAGCTCTGGTAGGGGATATGTGAGGTCGGCTGCAGCCGACTGGTCTCTCAGTTTTGCGCGAGACACCGCCGGTGACGTGCACGTACGCTGCCTCACACCACTAACCCGGCATAACATCTGCGTGGCCCGGGGATCATTCACTCCAGCCTATCACGATTAACCAGCATTTACTCATTTAAGCCGTCCTCTGGCTATGCTCGTGCAAACTGCAGTCGATCGCAAACACATTCTCAATTAATTTTACAACCAAAAAATATATGTATTCTCGAATATAAATTAATCTCAATGTATATCATAATTATATGCATAGTTAGGCTTAGGGTAGGTTAGTTTTGGTTTATTTTCAATTAAAAAACGCAATGCGCATGACTAGAATCGTATTTGAAGCACGATTGGAGTCACGTGCCAACCCGTTCTCACACCAAGCTGTTTAAAGCAGTGGCCGTCCTCCCCAGACGCATTCATCAATTTTAACATACTGTGTATTAAAAATTGCTTTGTTCTCATATATAAATGAATATTCTTATACATAAAAATTGTATGTATGGTTTGGCGTAGGTTAGGTTAAGTGTTTAGGTTCTGTTGGTAATTATTTATATTTATAAGTTCGTGGGTAAAACATTTTTAGAATTGTGGTTTGAACAGAGGACGTGAGCGAAGCACTTGTTCTGGAAGTGTTCGGACGTCATCAGTTGTGTGTAAACTGCTTTTCATTCATAAACAGGGGGTTTGGCGGCTGGATTAAAGAGCTTGGCTCTTTGTATGCGAGAACAGGTTGCACGTGCATTGTGTTTTTAATTAAAATGCGGAGGGTTCGGTGACTACATTAACGAGTACTTGGCCATTGTTTGTCACGGGCTATTCATGCCCATGCCACCACTTGGGTGGCTTAATCTTCATCAGTCATTGTTTATGCACAGGTTAGATGCACACGGGCTACTAGACCACCTATCCGTTATTAGGGCCGGTTGTTGGTCAACTGTTGTGTAGTTCCATCCTGGGCAAGGTCAGTAGTTTGGCCTTGGAGGGGGGGTGGGGAGCCTCGATACCAGCCTAACGTATATTCAGGCAAAGGCTGCCCATCCCCCAACAAAACGAATTATTATTATATAGACTCGTGGTTCAACCTTGTCATCCGCTCCGTCTAGGAACAGTCTGACAACGGAACGCGATTTTTGCCCACTGCTCAAGTGTCATACTGCAGTTGGGCATTTCTTTTTAGCGGCTCCGATGTATTTAATGCTTGAAGTCACAGGGAAATTAAGATTTACACAGTACATAACATAAATACTGTTGGTTGCAAACAGTCAGTTTTTGTGCGTAATACCAAATAGTTACAGTATTATATCCTTTTAGGAGGACGAGTTGGCCAAATAGTGTATTTATTAACAGGAAGGCACAGTAGTTTCCGCCAACAGGCGACGTGTAGCCACTGGACTTAGTTTTTCCCGACGTGGAAACGACGAGTACATATTGACTTTGGCTGCAGTTGTTCCTAATCTCCAACACCTGTTCACACGTTAAGCATGGACATCAACGAAATGTAAGTTATAGTTTGTTCTGTAGGTGCGATTATCATGTGGTCGTGCTAGCTGGGAACCTAATAAAATGTTAATTAATGCAACATTTTTAGCTATGTACTCCCATTACCGAGTGTTGCATGTATTTGCACTTATTGATCAAGTGGCGAATGATTTCCTGTTTTGTGGAACTAAGTTGGAATATCGATTGGGAACACTATAATTTAAAGTAACGTTCGTATTTTGTAGCTTAAAGTAAGAGCTTATTAAGTAATAGTTACCTACAGTGGTTAATAATTTGTCATTCTTCTTCATGCTGCAACCAGGGGAGTGCATCACGACTACCTGGTAAGTGGTCCTATATAACCCACTCTTAACAGGCTTAGTATATCAAGTGTTGGAATATAAGTTATATAACATCGAATAACTATTAATATCAACATGTCCTCAGGGAGGAGATCCGTTCAAGGGAATGGATTGCGAATGACTACATAATTAGTGCTATTATCTACTCTCTCCATGGTTATGTTAGGTTTCATTACATTTAGTTACATTAATAATGTTAGCTTAGTTCATTTATTGTGCACCTCATACCCATCCTGTCAGTGGTAGAGGAAAGGGTTACAGAGGCACATAATGGGCTCAGGGACTGAACCCCACAATTAATTTAGCTAAGCAACAATCTTGATGAGCTAGTTACAAAATTCAATGCACATCGTCACATCAATAATGGGTTCGAGACCGACCACAAGACAGTTTCTAAATTAAGCAACTGACATATGTAGAGAGCTAGTGTCACATTTTATTTGTTTGTACTCTGTATTACTGATAATGCGAAATGTGGAGTTTTAAAATATTTAAGTGTACCAGATAATTCCGCTTACAAAAAAAATTCTTCAAAGAAAGTTTTCAGCATACACTTTTTATATTTTAAATCAACGACTTGTAATACATTAAATATATAACTTGAAAATAGTCTCTGTTTAGCACAAAGATTTGTTTGTCATTTTACATGTAGACTATTAGTGGAACCGTAATATACTTTCAGACCATCATAAATATCTAGATGACTATCCAGGGGGTTTGAAGAGTAGGGGGTTCTCATGGCAATGAATTTGGTCTGAGGACGGGCTCATTAATATCCTTCTTCATTGTCACTGTGGCTGGACGAGGCGGAAGGGTAGAGTGTAACCCTTGCTCAGGTTAGGTGGGCACTTTCCTGGCATGTTGGGCATGACAATGCACATCATAACTACCAAATCAACAACATTACCTTGCAGTAGACTGATGAATAAAAGGACCTGGAGTCAAAACCTACCAATCTCAAAGCTGCACAAGTGGAAGCTGCAATATAAAACTAAGTCTAGAATAGTCAAGCGTACCTTCGAATTCAAGAAGGTAATTATTTATATATATAAAAATATATAAATACATAAAATTTATAAAATAAAAACTTTATTTCTAGAAATTTATTTGTATTATAAAGAAAGATTAACTTCTTTCCAACAATGCTCTTCATTTATAATTTGAATGTTTAAATATTAAAAAAAAAAAATCGTTTCACTAAAACAGACCTTAGCTGTGAACCTGGGGGCCCGCCAAAAAAGTTCCCAGTTAGACCCTGCAGCTCCTAAGGCCGGCCCTTCCCAAGATTTACTTTCCTATTTCATTGGCTGCCAGGATGAGGAAGACTCTAGGAGTGAGCAGAGCGACATGTCGGCGTCAGTGACTGAAGCCTCGTCACTTGTGACAGTACGAGCGGGCTGCTGTAACTTCAATCCTGTCAGTAAGTCGGGCAAAAAGTGGCACCAGGTGCAGATGATCCTCCTGCCCTTCATCCCTATCGCCGCTCTTATTGTCCAGAATTGTTGGTTCATGTCTACCGTAGCCGACCACCAGAGGGAGATGCAAGTTCTCGCTTCTCAGGTAAGTTTTCTGAGTTGGTTTCAGATAGGTTTGTGTGCGTGAGTGTCTTTTTACCCTGGTTCGAGCTGTTAGTGGACATCAGTCACTGGTTATATATATTTTTTTCACTGCAAACTATGCTGATGTACTTGCCTCTGCTTGTCCTCTCACTTAATGGACTACAAATGTGGGGCATAACAATGTACCTTGACCTTGAGGTGACCTTGAGGTGCTTCCGAGGCTTAGCGTCCCCGCGGCCCGGTCGTCGACCAAGCCTCCTGGTTGCTGGACTGATCAACCAGGTTGTTGGACGCGGCTGCTCGCAGCCTGACGTACGAATCACAGCCTGGTTGAATAGGTATCCTTTGAAGGTGCTTATCCAGGTCTCTCTTGAACACTGTGAGGGGTCGGCCAGTTATGCCCCTTATGTGTAGTGGAAGCGTGTTGAACAGTCTCAGGCCTCTGATGTTGATAGTTCTCTCTCAGAGTACCTGTTGTATATCACAACTACCAAATCAACATCATCACATTGCAACAGATTAAAGAAGAAATGGATCTAGGAGTCAGAATCCACCAGTTATCGAAAGTTGCATAACAGTGGGACCTGCAGTAAAAAAAAAAAAGCCAACCAAACCCCAGAAATAGTCAAACTAACTATTTGACTATAAACGAACTATACTAACTAGACTTCAAGGAAAAGAAGGTAGTTATTCAACCGTACAGATCTTTGGTGCACACCAATCTGGACTACTGCATCCAAGCATAGAGACCTCATCTTCAGAAGGACATATCTGCTTTGGAGAAAGCTCAATTCTCATACCAGGAACATAGGTAAATACTTGCTTAGCTAAATAAAGTACGGGGACCGATTATGTGCTTCTGTAACCATTTCCACCACCGTTTACGGGATGGGTATGGGATGCATAATAAAGAAAGAAATCTAAATCGTCAACAGGTCCAAGGGACGGTGGAGCTGGGAATTCTACTGACGGCCTTACAGCTAGAGCGAGGGGAAGTGGCCTACTTCATCTTCTCCAACGGCACCAAACTCAGGTTAAAGCTGTTCTTTGCTGCCACTGGTAGTCTTTGGTATAGTTTAATTCTTATATTCACTTTCATATTGTAATAATTCACAAGTGGTTGATCGTTCGCAACGATCAAATGCAACTGGTGCAAGTGAGGTATATATATATATATATATATATATATATATATATATATATATATATATATATATATATATATATATATATTAGTAGCAATATATTTACACTGCTACAAGTAATGTTTGAGTTCGTGACGTTAAGTAATGCATTTACACACATTCAAGAGGTTACGTAATGCATGTATATGTGTTAATATTGGATACATTATAATTAATACTTTTATTTAAACATTTGACACGTGACACATTTTAAAGTTTTTGTTTGTGGAGCAGCGTGTGTGGAGGGGGGCTCTGTAGAGCCCTCCAGCCGCTCTGCTTGTAATAACGTTTCACTTGTCACATGATTGCTCTCTTCAGTGAGAGAAACTCGCTGGTCTAATAAAAAACGGTGAACCCTTTTGATACCTCCAGTTCGGAGAATTGATTTCCATGACATTTTCCGATAAAATACTCTTTGAACCCATTAGGTTTTGAGCAAACAATTATTTAACACTGCGGTTCTCCTTTATTGAGACCACCAATGTGTGAACCACCATTACCTTGGTCAGCTGACGATCTAACCACCATTAAGTGTTACGATCTGACGTCGTAAGTCGTGGTTGTGTTGTGAACTCTTGCGGATAAACTTAAATTAATCCAATCACACTAACGTGGCCGCAATATCCAGCCCCAAGACTCTGACTACACACATGCAAAGAAAGCTGTGAGTTGGTGAAATATTTTTCTCTCCTTGATACAGCACAGTTTGCCAACTTGAGTGTTGTTTCCCGGTCTGACATTAACCAATGATACAAACTTATACAACTTTATACATTTTGTTGATAAGATACTAAATATGAAACATTGTTGTCTTGCAGGCGAGGAGTCACAATAACGTGGCTGAAATATGTTGACCAAACCACACACTAGAAAGTGAAGGGACGACGACGTTTCGGTCCGTCCTGGACCAATCTCAAGTCGATTGTGAATTCACACATTCATAGTCGACTTGAGAATGGTCCAGGACGGACCGAAACGTCGTCGTCCCTTCACTTTCTAGTGTGTAGTCTGGTCAACATTGTGTTGTGTGAAGACTCGTGTAAGAGTGCTGCCTGTTAGCGGACAGCAACATTCAACAGAACTCGTTATATGCATGTTAATGAATTACCATCATATACATATTAATGTATGATCGTTGCATACATAATGTATACAACGGTGTGAAATCCGTCTCTATACTGATCTCCAGTTAATTATTGCAACCTCTGTAAAAACTGTTAACTTTGTTACGTATGAAAGAACCACTCAGAAAAATCTGTTCTTTTTTTGAGAAGGAACATGTTTCTTGAACTGGTTGGCACAGCGATGTCTCGCAAATTGCAGGTCAGCGTTCGATCTCCAACGATGCAAGTGGTTGGGCTCCACTCGTTGTCTCCGCCCTATCCCAGCTCCTTGTCCTCATATCCCAGCTCCTTGTCCTCCTAGCCCAGCTCCTTGTCCTCATATCCCAGCTCCTTGTCCTCATATCCCAGCTCCTTGTCCTCATAGCCCAGCTCCTTGTCCTCATATCCCAGCTCCTTGTCCTCATAGCCCAGCTCCTTGTCCTCATAGCCCAGCTCCCTGTCCTCATATCCCAGCTCCTCCTGTTCATATTCCTTCCAAGTGCTACATAGTCGTACTGGCTTATTCCTCCTAATAATAACCTTGTCTTAATGTCTCCACTGGCTTCACCACTTATACAATACTAACAGGAATCGACCAAATTGACAAAGAGGAATCCCTGAAACCAGTAACTTACCGAACAAGCGGACACATTCAAGCTAATGAAACAAAGGTGCCGAAAAAAAATATTAGAAAGTTTTCTTTTGCAGAGTGGTAGACGTTTGGATTAAATTAGGTGAGAGGGTGGAGGCCAAAACCGTCAGAAATTTCAAAGCTTTATGCGACAAAGAGTAATGGGAACCCGGGACACCACGAGCGTAATCGCATCCCGTAACTACACTTAGGTAATTACACACACATACACGCGCGTGCGATTTGTGTTCCACATTAATAGGGGTTACAGGGAGATGTCCTAACTTTTAAGAATGAAAGGAGCCGTGGAGGAGGGTCAGTTGCCGGGGAAGAAGACGTCCAGGCTTCCGTCTGAGAGCAGCGCCAACATTTCTTCACGATCATCATCTAACTCCAGGTCAGACATGTCTTCTGCTGGCATGGAGCTCTTCAGCTAGCATGGAGCCCCTTCTGCTGGCATGGATCTCCTCTATTACCACGGCGTTCTTCTGCTACCATGGGGCTTTTCAATTAAGATGGGCTCTTCTGCTACCATGGGGGCTTTTAACTAGCACGGCGTTCTTCTGCTACCATGGGGGCTTTTCAATTAACATGAAAACTTTGGGGCTCTTCTGCTAGCATGGAACTCTACTTAGACCCCTACCCCAGATTTGCTTGGTGTTCTAATCTTGCTAACTCTAGTTCCCCAAAAGCTGTGTAAGCACACCAGAACTAGGATTCGTCAAGCATTTACGAAATATGTACATCTTTCCTCATTCATGCCGACTTTGTTTACATACATTTAACAGTTTGAGCTCCGAAGCACTACAAGGTTGTTTATACTAAATAATAACCTTGTGTTGTGAAGTTTCGAAGCTCAACGCTGTTGAGCTTCGAAGTTTACAACAGCCTCGAAGCTGTTGTGAAGTTTCGAAGTTTAATAAATGTAAACAACGCCGCTATGATTGAGAAAAGATGTACAGCTTTCGTAAGTGGTTGTGTAAATGTTTAATTAATCCTAGTCCTTGTGTACTTACGTTTGGCGCTGCAATATGAACGCCAGAACTGAGGTGTACTTGGCAGATGTTGGGTGTGCAACCCGCTTTCGCACAAGACAGTACATATATGACTTATTGCTTATAGTCAATATTTGGCTTATTTGCGGTGTGCTGGTGAAGGGCGGTCTGCTGTGGCTCCTTTGTTCACGGTGCTTTTTATCGACGTGAAGGCTGTTTTTATAGACGTAATGGATGTTTTTATTTACGTAATTGTTGCTTTTATCGGTATAATGGGTGTTTTTTTATCGATGTAATTGTTGCTATTATTGATGTAATGGTGCTTTTATGGTGAGGGAATGGTGCTTTTTAATGGGTGTTTTTATCGACGAATTTGCTTTTATATACGTAATGGATGTTTTCAATGACGTAATTGCCGCTTTTAACGATATAATGGAGGGTTTTAATCATGCAGTGGGTATTTTTTATTGACTTAATGTTACTTTATCAACGTAATAAGCATTTTCTTGGCGCTTCCATGTCGGCAACTATTTGATATCTGGCTGTGAATTGTTTAAATCCTGTATCGTAGTTTTGTATTATCTAGATTGATAGCTTCACAGTCACAGCACACAAGCCTATCACAATCCTCCTTTGTTATCAAGGTTTCCGTTTTTTATCATGTGTTTAAATTTATATATCTTCATTAATAATTCGCAAAAGTATTTTGAAGAAAGGACTTTTTTGCAGGGCAATTTTCCCCTTACCCCTGTCCCACCCTGTCCCACATGTCGTTGCACACGCCATCAGCAGCAGCGGCGGGGTCCCCAGGTGGGCTCCTCCCTTCCTCAGTTTTCTGGCTAAGTTCACACACGAGGGTTAGAGGGTACGTTGCTGGGAACGTTGTGGACGGCAGTAGGGCGAGCTGTAGCGTGACCTGACCAAGGTGGGTCACCAGGCTCCTTCATGGCCACTTATAATGCAGCCCGTCCTCCAAAGACCCAAAAGTGATTCCGCGCACCCGCCAAACCCCCTGTTTATGAATGAAAAAATGGTTTACACACGACTCAACTGATTTCATTCGAACACTTCCGGAACAATTGCTTCAAGGACGAATTTTGTTCGAACCTGCTGGATTATCGAGCATTTGGACAATGTTTTGAGGGTGGTCACCACCTCCAGTCACAGTTTGAGGGACCCGTGCACCTCGTACCCGCTAAATAAAAGGATAATCGATATCTCCTGGTCTTCTAGTCTACCTCAAAGGCTAATGGCAGGTCGTCTCCTATACTATAATAATCTAATTACTTTACTTCTAACACACAGAGATCACACTAACGTGATGCATCAAATGAACAAATGGTTTGTGCCTCGGAGAGGCTACGGGATCCAATAAGTTCAGTAGAACTTCGGTTTCGACTTTTTTTTTTCTTTAACCCTGTCGTAGCTCAGTCGATTAAGGCAGTGTCTGGGATGCTCCCGGACGCAGGTTCTAATCCTCGTCACGGCCCTTGTGGATTTGTTTACTTCACTTCTAAATTATGCATGATTTATGCTCAATTCAGTTTTCTATTGTGGTTTACTTTAAAGTGACAGGTAAGGCTAATTGTCTTTTACTGATTAATCTTCTTTGTTTCACTTTTTAAAACTAATTATAAGTGTTTAAATTTCGAACACATCTTTAGTGTGAATATTAGTGAAAATAATTTAATGGTCTGCTCCTTTTATTGTATCGCTGGACATTCTGTCCCTCTCTAGTGCTTCTGTAATGTTCATCTGGCAGGTGGTGTATGCTTCGCCCTCTTCCCGTCTCCACCCAGTGTGTGCACGCGCGGTGTTCCCGTTGGCATGACTTATTTACCTGCATTAATAATATATGTGTACATCTAGGGCTTGTGGCAGGGACATGAAGCTCGTGTAATGACTATTATTCTGCCTCATGTGTTTCTTATGTTATCTTAGTCTTGCTAAATCACGATTGAATCATGTTATCCACTTCAAGAAGTGCTGATGTAATTAATATACGAATCTCGTCATATTCAATCTTTCTTTTAGTAATACATACATCCTTCTGCGACTTTTTGTTGTTTGTTTTGATATTATCTGTAATGTGTGAGAGTTATGACAACACACGGTCGAGCCTACAATCATATCTAGGTAAGTAAACGCACACGCATACACAAGGAATACATTAGGCAGTGAAATGGGGGAGGCAGACTTCATACACAGTTTCAAATGTAGATATGATAGAGCCCAGTAGGCTCTGGAACCTGTACACCAGTTGATTGACTGTTGAGAGGCGGGACCAAAGAGCCAGAGCTCAACCCCCGCAAGCACAACTTGGTGAGTACACACACACAGACATCACTTTCCTCCATATTTCAAATACCATCTCGTTGTCGTTGATCATTGCAATAGTGTTCAGCTTAAAGTGGTGGTCGGGGCAGAGCTGTTCACTAACCCGGGCCGTGCTTCCCGCCAGGACCGACCTTCCCGCCACCTTCAGGAGGACAGACCGGGTCCTCGAGGAGGTCATCACCTGGCCCAACTTCTCAGACACCGCCGCCAACACTCTCCTCGGCTCAAAACTCCGGTTCCAGCTACAACTGGAGGGTTTGAGGTAAGCTTTGATGTCGATGGATTATATGGACTATAATTTGTGTTTAATCTGGAGGACTCGTGTTAGGTAGAAGATTTGTGTTAGGTGGAGGATGTAAGAACTCGACAAACATCTCTTAAAAAAATACCTGATCAAGCAGGCTGTGATTCATACGTCAGGCTGCGAGCAGCCGCGTTCAACAGCCTGGTTGTGACCAGGCGACCAACTGGGAGGCCTGGTGGGAGACCGGACCTCGGGGCCATTGATCCCCAGAACCTCCAGAAGGTAGACACAAGGTAAGGTAAAGCACAAGACAAAAAGCACGCATTTATATCCGGACATCTGTGCCAGGTGAGTACAGCGGGCTCGCCATAACTCGTGCTGCTTGGAACCTTTTGTTCCCACTAGCTGAATCTAAAACAACAGAAAGCAAGTCGGGTAAATTAAGAAAAAGTGCCTACAGGTTATAAATGTGGAGAATGAGTGCTCTGATCGACTTGAGAATGGTCCAGGACGGACTGAAACGTCGTCGTCCCTTCACCTTTTAGTGTGTGGTCTGGTCAACATACTTCAGCCACGTTATTGTGACTCATCGCCTGCAAATGATTGCTGTTACACTGGGGCATAATTCACTATAAAGTGATTAACACTGGAAAGCCCCAGTGGGAGTTATAGACAAGGCCCGGCCCCCCTGGAAATTTACTCCCATAAATAATAATAATAAACCTGTTTTAATGAATGATTAGCCTAATCTACACTGGCGTAACGACACACTACTATAAGTTAACAGTACTTTACTCACTTATAATGTCCTAAGACAATAATAGTTACTCTACCACATCTACATTAATTGATGATTGATTTTTTATTGTTGCCGCCGGAGGCGGCTAGTTTATTGTGTACCCCATACCCATCCTGTGAGCGGTACCCATTTCCTGCCTCAGAGAACGGGAATTAGTGTACTTGTAGAGGAGGAGGAGGTTGGAGTGAGATGGGTATTGTGCCTCATATCATCGAACTTTTGAATGAAACTAATTGTCCAAAATCTCGGGCGAGTTATCTGATATGTTGTGTGTGTGGCAGGCAGAGAGTCAACGTGCAGGGAGACACTGTGGCCCAGAAGATGGAGTGGTACAGCCTCATCACTTCCTACATCATGGAGGCCATCATCTCTAACATTAAGGACGCCAGCATCTCCGGTGTCTGGAAGTGAGTGGCCAACCCGTGTCCTTTACAGCATCCAAGGTAGGATTACCACTAACACCACCCGAACTAATGCAATCATTATACCACCAGTATCCGCCGCAAGTGTCACCAACACTTGCCAATACCACCACTACCGCCAACACTTATCAATACCACCACCAACACTTGCCAATACCACCACTACCGCCAACACTTATCAATACCACCACCAACACTTGCCAATACCACCACTACCGCCAACACTTACCAATACCACCACCAACAACAACACCTTTTCTCTCGACTCCCCCTCGTCCCCCAATCCATACGCCCGATTGGAAGGGGTGGGGGGGAGGCTGTCGACGCTCATCCAACCTTTAATGTACAATTTTTATTTAATTTCAAAAGTTGTTCAATCATACTTATTTTCTAGTCGTATTTTACTACAGGGGAATTTTAATATTGAAATTAACATGAATTTTGGCACTAGCAAGATCATGTACATTCACTGCTAGGCTTCCTGTACAGGAAAGTACTTGCATACTCACGTAACTCAAGTAACGTACCAGGTACTCAACGTACGTACCAGGGTAAGGTACGGTAAGTACGAAGTATGGTAAGTACATACGGTAAGTACGTACGGTTGAGTACCAGGTAACGTACCTGGTACTCAAGCAACGTACCAGGGAAGGGTTTCCCCTGTACTTCAACATAACAACAATGGTTGATAAGCAAAATAGTTTTAATTTTAGGCCACATTTGGACTAAGGTATATATGATGACTAGCAGATATGGACGCCAGTGATGGTCATCAGTTGTTTTGTGCGTGTCATTGAGGTTATCTTGAGATCTTATCTTGAGATGATTTCGGGGCTTAACGTCCCCGCGGCCCGGTCCTCGACCAGGCCTCCTTCTTGTTACACACCCCCAGGAAGCAGCCCGTAGCAGCTGTCTAACTCCCGGGTACCTATTTACTGCTAGGTGAACAGGGAGCATCAGAGTGAAAGAAACTCTGCCCATTTGTTTCCGCCTCCACCGGGGATCGAACCCGGAACCTCAGGCCTACGAATCTCGTGCACTGTCCACTCAGCTGTCATGCCCCTCGTTGAGTAAACCATTGTTTTGTGTGTGTGTCACTAAGTGAACTAGTTGTTTTGTCATCTAGTGAACCAGTTGTTTTGTGAGTTGTTACAGTTTTTGTTGTTTTTATGTCGAACGCAAAATGCACTACAATGTAATTATTAATTGTCCTCAAATTATGCTACAATGTACCTGTTAATTGCACAATGTACATGTCTGGTCATTATACTTTAGCCACGTTATTGTGACTCATCGCCTGCATACATGTTAATTGTCTTTACATTTTCTTATAATGTACCTTCTAATATTCTTCAAATTTTGCTGCAAATTACGTACTTAAAGTTATCTATTAGATTAAGGACCTGCTTGAAACGCTGTGAGTGTTAGTGACTTTGCAAGAATATAAAACATCAAGTCTGGTGTTATAACGTTGTTTATACCAGTCAAGTAACTACTTTTTTCGTTACAATCTGGTGCTCTAATGTTATCTGGTGTTATCATGCGTTGTCATGTGTTTACTAGTTGTGTTTTGCGGGGGTTGAGCTTTGCTCTTTCGGCCCGCCTCTCGACTGTCAATCAACTGTTTACTAACTACTATTTTTTTTTCCCCACACCACACACACACACACACACCCCAGGAAGCAGCCCGTGACAGCTGACTAACTCCCAGGTACCTATTTACTGCTAGGTAACAGGGGCACTTAGGGCGAAAGAAACTTTTGCCCATGTGTTATCTGTTGTTATCATGCGTTGTCATGTGTTATCTTGTGTCGTCATGTGTTATCTTGTGTTATCTGTTGTTGTTTGGTGTGCCTTTGTGCCGTTGTTTCCTTTACTAGTAAATAATCTAAATAAATAATTTGCTCAGACGGATTCCAAAAGCAACTTGAGTATTGATGGTGTGGCTGATGGAAAATATCCTTCCCTCCATAGCAATCACTCTCTGACCGGGATCGATTGTGATTTCAAGGATTATTTTCCGATCGATGGGTCCTTAAGTAAGGATCACTGAGGACTAAACAAGGGGGTCGAGGGATTTAGCGGCACGCCCATCCTGCTCTTGTAATTAATTACCAGGAAGATTTAAGAAGATTAATATTGATGGTGGGCAGCTATTAAACCAGAGAGTATGTGTGTTGGGGCGGCTTCCCAGGCTCAACATCCTCTTGTAGCTAGCTGGTGCTTGTGTGCTGAAACTCGACCTGTTCTTAGGCTAGGCTTGTCGGCAGACAAGCCGACAATCAAAGAAAAAGACATTGTATTATGTAGATATAGATATTATACCACATGAGATTTATTAGGATAAATAAATATAATATGCTGTTTAATGAAGGACTTAATAATATGTCAACATAAACAGATTACTTGTGGCATATAAGGACCTGATCCGATCAGTGGAGTACTTTGGTATCGTGATGATCGAGGGTCTGAACTACTTCGGGAGCGGGAGTCTTACCCAGGAGAGGTTCGTGAACTACGTCACCTACGACATCTTGGCCTGGAAGTCTCTCAACCAGACGAAGGACTTCGTGCAGGTCATCAGAGAGAAGGTGGAAGGCTTCAACATCCAGTATGAAGAGTTCAACAATATCACAGAATGGTGAGCACTCAGTTTATTTATATAATTTAACTTTGTACAATAAAAAATATAATGGTGTCAGAAAGGGGTAGAGTAGGAGAAGCCAATAACAATACAAAGTCAGGGACAATAGGGCAAGGTTTTTACCAGAATGCTGATTAATTTCTTCTCTGAGGCTTGGGTCCTCCCCCCACAAACATGAGAGGTAATGGTGATACTTTGTTACTAGGACTTATAACCCTAATTAGAATGCATTAAGGGACGGACTGGTTTATCACGTATCGTGCACGGAAAGTTATAAATTACAGTAAATAACTACTGTCAGGTTTGGCTTCAAACTGTTTCGCCATTGTCCCGATGGTAGTCTGGGTAGTATGTAGAGTGTACTCTCGACTCAATCGGGAGTTCCGGTTTCAAATCCTTGGGCTGGACAGAAATGGTTGGGCTCGTTTCTATCGCCTTCTAATGCACCTGTTCACCTAACAGTAAATAGAGGAGTTAGTCAGCTTGTGGGGTTGCATCCCGTAGAGGTTCAGTAATTCGACGATGCGGGAAACCTCGATATAAACCTAACAGATAAATATACACTAGCTGCCAGTCTCCCCCGACACAATTAATTATTATATAAATTGTTCATGTGTTAGCCATGTATAAAGTTATAAATGTGTGATGGTGTGTGGGTGGCGGCGGGCGGGTGCAGGCGCCAGAAGGTGCTGGGGAACACGGTGCAGGAGGTGGACCTCAGCGTCGCCGACGACTACTTCTACGTGATGGTGCGCTTCACCGACGAGCTCCGGAACCTCCAGTGGCTCCTCCTCGACATGATCAAGTGAGCACCCAGGCCAGCCTTCTCACCTGAGTACTCAACTAAAAGAATTGCGCATATATAAGCACATGAAGATAGGGTTCAGAATATAAAATCATTTCCTTTTCAGCTGTTTAAGTGCAGTTTAGCATTTGTGTATATTTAAGCTTAGTTAAAAAAAGTCTTCATTAATGGAATAACACAAAATATCTAAATATAAATTTGTTGGCTGAACTAAGCGAATGATTTTAAATTCTTGAATTAAAATTTAAATTTGAACATTCAAATTTAGCCTGAAATATGAATTATGTTGCACACATTGTTGAAACACAACATACAAAAGCATTTATTCTGTTTCGCATCACGTACCAAATTTTCAACCATTTACCCGAGTGTGTTAGTCAGGAGTCCCTGCTCCTCTCATTATATACCAACAGCCATTCGCTGAGTTAATGGTTTCAGCACAGCCTAATGCAACCAAGTCTTCTTTTTAGTTCCATAAAAATATATTTATGCGCTAATGCACACTATAAATTTGGTCGACTGAACATGGAGTGCATTATAGTCACAGACCATCCTGTGGATATATAGCAAGATCATTCAAAATAATCATTATCGTAGTATAAAAATTAGTGTGGTAGCCTGAATTAAATACTGTAGCTGACAAATAAACAAATTGCTGAACCCACAAATTTAAAATTCATTGAAAGTGAACACGTTTCAGTTCGACCTTCGCGCTTTTCAAGTCGTAATTATAACTTTATCAAACTAATACTAGCATTAGTGTTGAGTATCACAGTGAACAACAACAGTGTTGAGTATTACAGCCTCGCGATCTAGTATTCCATGACAATAGGTTATGACATTAAGGTTGTTAATTGGGTTATATATTCTGCAAGATTCTCGGTTATGTTAGTCAAGCTTGCCTTACAGCGTTCGTTAATCCGCTTTACTTTACTGGGATTGGACTGATATACCGTTAACCTGGTCTAACCTTTTATAAATAGGCATTTCACGGCCGATGCGATTAGAGATGAAGAGGATTAGTTGCTTTACTGATTTAATGATAAACAAAATTAAACTCATTTAATTGCAGAACACATTAAAAAAATTGGTTTACCCAGTAATCGGTTCTGAGGAAGGCGAGTAGATTTGTGTTTGTTTGCATGCATTGTTAATTGTTCAACTTCCTCCCAATGTGAAGGATAACCTAAGAAATACAAGTGATTCGTGCCAGATTGAGCAAACCCTTTCGGCTATATTCAATAATGTTTGTCTACAGGAACGTCTGCATGATAATTCCATTGTCTGAAACCATAGGCTTAATGCAACGCATGTAAACTGGACCCAGATGCATTAGGATAAAGATACCATTTGATATAAACAGTCTGATGCTTGTGGTCTGATAGTGGAGTGGTGGTGTTAAGATGAAGGTGTGACCACAGGATGTACATGGGCACGAAGACTCGCAGCGCGGACACGCAGGTGACCATCTCTATCATAGTCCTGGTGGTGGTGTTCATCATCTCTCCCGTCATCATCTTCCTCGTCCGTCACGCCACCTACACCATCCAGGTGAGCAAGTGTCTGACAGGTAAAGGATCGGGAATATTCCTTGTAAAACAACCTTGATGTTCCTGCTCCTGCCTTGTGTCGCAGGTGTGACTGACCGTTGTCTTGCCCTGAACAGATATTCGCGGCGACGCTGACGACGAAAGGAATCGAGCTGCGTCGGGAGAAACGCCGCTGTGACCGCCTTATATACCAGATGCTGCCTCAGGCCGTTGCTATGCAGCTCAAGAAGAAGAAACTGGTGAGTGTTTCTCCTCCAAGAGACTTTTGAGTTTCTCCTCCAAGAGACTGGTGGGGGTCACTCCTCGAGTACTATATTGCTCGTAGCATTTCCAATTTCACATTTAATTTGTATATCATTGTTAGCTCCTCATGTTCTGCAGCACAGTGGTCTGTGTCCTCGGCTCACAACTGATGAACCCCGGCCAGTATAATAACGTTTGTGTATGTTTTCTTTCACATGATGTCTCTGTTCACCTAGCAATCAAATAGGTTCCCGGAAGTTAAGTAATTGTTGTGGGTTGCATCCTGGGTAAGGTCAGTATTATGAACAGAGTATATGAGAAGTTCCTTGGTGTTCATACTGATAGTAAGCTGAATTTCAGCTGCAATATACTCAATATTAAAAAAAAAAGTTTCTAAATCAGTACTCAGTCTCTCTAAAGTCAGAAAATTTGTTTCGTCCTGCCCCGGTAACGCTTTATTATTTGCATATGACTTTTAGCCTTTGTTTCAGCCCGTCCTCGTAAACAATGCCCAAAAGTGATTCCGTCAAATCCCGTTTATAATTGAATGCAATTTTACACACGACTCACAACTGATGGCGTACGAACATTTATCGAACAGTGTTTCGCTGACGACCCCTATTCTAATCACAACTTAGTAAATGCTTCACCCATGTACTACAAATATCAATAATTGCCAACAGATCTTAAACACCTAATCTAACTAATGTCTAAATATGCACAATATGATTAATTAATATTTGAGAAAAATTCCTATTTTGAATGAGTAGCATGTTAAAACTTATGAATGTGTCCTTGGAGTAGCTGGATGGAATGACCATAGCCTAAGAAAGGAATTGTAGATGTTTATCTCAGAATGTTTGGTAATATGTTTATTGTTTGTGATGTGTGTCTATGTATGTATTAACACGATGTACTGAACGGGGTGAGAATAGCTTGAGCTACCTCATCCCTTTGTGTGTATTTTACCTCAATAAACTTATTTCAATTTCAATTTCAAAATAGCCTAAGGACGGGATGCTTTGTCGCTGAGGACGGGTTGCCATGAAACACCACCATTGTAACGTATCGGGAATTGCAGAAAGAAATGAAGATAACTCATAGAGTGAGGGAGGTAGAGAGGAGGAAGAGTGGTCAGGAGAAAGGGAATTTTAGGAGAGAAAATGGGAGGGGAAGAAAAGTGATAAAGGAAAAAAAAGGAGGAAAGAGGTAGAAAGGGCTGCCACCATCCATTCAATAGTTATTTATAAGACAAGGATTGGAACTTGTCTGTACCACAGTATTATCTGATGTTATCAAGTAACCACTGTAAGCATGTAAATCATATAGTCAAGAATCTTTTAAGACATAATCTTAAGCCAGTAAACTTCAGAGTGCTCTCCACTCTAGCTTTCACTATCCAAGATCTAGGAATCAGAAATAAAGACAATTTAAAAAGTAAGTTAATCGCCACACAAGAAATTGAGAGCAACTACGGCTGACTGCCCCTGAAAATCACACAATACATAAATTGGAAAACACCAAATACATCAACCTTACAAGTTCACTCACTTTAGTTTCGAATATAAGATGATAGAGAGGATGGGGGAGGGAGGGGGGTGCAGCTAACAAGAGTTCCTCACCGGTCTCAGACAGGCTCGCCTATTTGTGCTTGCGGGAGTTGAGCTTTGTCTCTTTGGTCCCACCTCTCAACCGTCAATCAACTGATGTACAGATTCCTGTGTAGACCTAGCGATGCTCGTCTCTCTCCTTCCCTGTCTATCTGTATCTCTGTTCTGAATCTCAAATGTACAGTTCCACGGGTATTTATGGGGGAACCGGGAGCTAAACTCCGCTTACCAGAAGATAGCCTCTGGCCATCTTCCTACCACACATAGACAGCGGCTTGTTTGTTGGAAACAACACACCCACTGGCCTGCAATTATCAGCTTAGAAGAGAGCGAGGCCACCTGATGCGACCTGACTTTTACTCAACCTGTGAACAATTAACACTTGAAAAAGTGTGACTTTTGAAATTCTAACACCGACACCCTGACGTCACCAATATCCTCTGTGACTGACTCTCATTGTATGTGAAATATTAAATAAAACCATTAATGATGTTGCAGCCATATGCCTATAGTATTATATGCCTAGGGGTCGTGTTCTATGCTTGTGAGTTATTTAAACAGTAAGTTCTGTTATTACTAAAATTTCTATATAGTTCACTTGAGTCAACAGGTAATCTGTATATTTATACAAATTTGACTTCAGCTTTATAATCCAATTGTTAATGCCATCTGTGTGTGTGTGCGCGCGCGCAGGTGCCCGCCGAGAGCTTCAAAGAGGTATCTGTCTACTTCAGTGACATTGTTGGCTTCACAAAACTCTGTTCCGACTCGGAGCCCATGCAGGTAAGGCCCCCACACCTGGCTTCATCTTATAACAATTAACGGCTTTTTTTTTTAGTAGCTAAAATATTTTACAATTATATTATTAATTAATTTCACAAAATACGTGTTCATTACAAGTTACAGACCGGTTATTACTGCAATGACCGACCAGAGGGGAGGGGGGTGAAGGATGTAACTGAAGGGTTATATAGTAGAGGAAACTTGACTTTATGTACGAGTTGCGTCGTGGTTGTACATTGTACAGTCGCGTAACTAGTATTGTTTGCAATGCCATTCGACTCTTGTTATATATGAAAGATGCCATTTATTCCAGAGTTTTCAAACCTTCCGTCAGCTCCTGGATAATGACAACTGGTAGATTGATCACCCATTTGCCGATGGAACAAGTCATTACTTATTAAGGTAATAAAAATAATATATTCAAGAACTAGTGTAATGGTTTCCACCATGTCGCAAGCTAAGTCCACTACGGGCTCACCATAGCCCGAAACTTGGAACTTATTGTTCCAAGTAACTGAATCTAAAACAACAACAAAATGTTGTAAACTTGAACAACAACGAACACTTGAGCGGTAAAATAAAATGACAAACCATTCAACTAACTTCATCAACAGATAATAGTGTTAAAGTATCGTCAAGTAATGAGATTTTCCTGACTTATTGTTACAGGTCGTGACGCTTCTAAACAAGCTGTACAACATGTTCGACTCCCGCATCGAAAACTTCGATGTTTATAAAGTGGAAACCATCGGCGACGCCTACATGGTCGTGTCCGGCCTCCCCAACCCGAACGGTCAGTAACGGTCTCAACGGTCATTACCAGCCTCAACGGTCAGTAACAGCCTCAACGGTCAGTAACGTCTTCAACCGTCAGTAAAGGCCTCAATGGTCATTACCATCCTCAACGGTTAGTAACAGCCTCAACGGAAAGTTCCAGTCTCAACGGTCAGTAACGGTCTCAACGGTCAGTAACGGTCTCAACGGTCAGTACCAGCCTCAACGGTCAGTACTGGCCCCAACGCTCGATAACCTCCCTCATCATCCATTATCAACAGTTAGTATACAAACTAACAATATTCAAATCAACATTGCCACTATACAAACGAACACCCAGAATCCAGACCAACGGTCATTATATCCATCTGTCACTATCCTCGTTCACTAGGTGGTATTAATGGTCCTTGTAGCTAAATATATCTACCATTTGGGTTCCATCACCCGCTTCAGCAGTCGTTCGTCATCCCAACAGTCATTCCCAACAATAATGTCTCGCAAAGCCAATGCACTTGTACTCAATAACGATGAGAAGATATTGAGGCTAGGGGGTAGAAATAGCCTAAGCTACTACTCTATCCCTTTGAGATGTATTTCTTTCTTGTCTCAATAAACATACTTGAACTTGATATTGAGGCCATAAATGGGACTGAACCGGCATCCCTGGATCCCAGTCGTTACTTTCTTGTGATTTCTTTGTGCAAGATTTGAAATTCAAATTCAAATGTTTTGTTCATAAATGTTAGTACCGTGTTTGTATTGAATACTTGACGAATTGTGTACCCAATAGAGCTTAGTTTTACACCACGATGACCAATGAATTATAGCCATAATGATTGATGTCGTAATTAATATGTGGAAATATTTATTTTCGTCGTGTCAAGTATTTATTTGCGGAACCTTCCTCCTTAGGACTGCGTCACGCGTCTGAGCTGAGCAACATGGCGCTGGACTTGGTTGAGGGAGCCAAGACCTTCGAAATACCGCACCGCCCTGATAAATCCCTCCTGATCCGCGCTGGCATAAACTCCGGCCCCTGCGTCGCCGGTATTTTATCCCCTGCCTTGCCTGTCTTCCACTGCTGCCGCCCCATGGCTGCCTTGCTGTCAGTCCCTAGTTTTACCTGCTGTCTTGTGTCACCTGTCCCCTGCCTCTCGTGTCACCAGTCCCCTGCCTCTCGTGTCACCAGTCCCCTGCCTCTCATGTCAGCAGTCTCCTGCCTCTTGTGTCACCAGTCCCTTGCCTCTCGTGTCACCAGTCCCCTGCCTCTCGTGTCACCAGTCCCCTGCCTCTCGTGTCACCAGTCCCCTGCCTCTCATGTCACCAGTCCCCTGCCTCTCGTGTCACCAGTCCCCTGCCTCTCATGTCACCAGTCCCCTGCCTCTCATGTCACCAGTCACCTGCCTCTCGTGTCACCAGTCACCTGCCTCTCGTGTCACCAGTCCCCTGCCTCTCGTGTCACCAGTCACCTGCCTCTCATGTCACCAGTCCCCTGCCTCTCGTGTCACCAGTCACCTGCCTCTCATGTCACCAGTCCCCTGCCTCTCGTGTCACCAGTCACCTGCCTCTCGTGTCACCAGTCCCCTGCCTCTCATGTCACCAGTCACCTGCCTCTCGTGTCACCAGTCACCTGCCTCTCGTGTCACCAGTCACCTGCCTCTCGTGTCACCAGTCACCTGCCTCTCATGTCACCAGTCCCCTGCCTCTCGTGTCACCAGTCACCTGCCTCTCGTGTCACCAGTCACTTGCCTCTCGTGTCACCAGTCACCTGCCTCTCGTGTCACCAGTCCCCTGCCTCTCGTGTCACCAGTCTCCTGCCTCTTGTGTCACCAGTCCCTTGCCTCTCGTGTCACCAGTCCCCTGCCTCTCGTGTCACCAGTCCCCTGCCTCTCATGTCACCAGTCCCCTGCCTCTCGTGTCACCAGTCCCCTGCCTCTCGTGTCACCAGTCCCCTGCCTCTCTTGTCACCAGTCCCTTGCCTTCTGTAAACAAGCTGTTAGTGAATTATTCTAGCAATGTTGGTTGAAATATTAAATGTTGATGATATTGTTAATGTGAATTAAGGATCTTAAGTAATAAGTTGTCGAGTCGTTTCGATAACGTGAGTTGTAATATGTTTCCTGTCGTGTGGTGGTGATGGTGGCAGGCGTGGTGGGCACCAAGATGCCTCGCTACTGCCTCTTCGGCGACACCGTCAACGTCGCCAGCAGGATGGAGAGCACCGGGGAAGGTCAGTAGTGGCTCCTCTTTACACGCTCAGGAGGTCACTCAGTATTCTGTATTGACCATGTACAAGTCTTGATCCTGAGCCAGGATTCAACAGGAACTCACGAAACCTGTACATCTTTCCCGAGATAATGACGGCTTAGTTTGTACTTATTAAACCGTTTACAGATACATTAACAACTCAAGGTTATTATTATTATAGATATCCTCGTAGCGCTTCGGAGCTCATAAATTTCGTAGTGAATGCAGACTAAGCCATTGTACTCGAGAAAAGATGTACAGGTTTCGTAAGTGGATATGTAATGAATCCCTATGAATATATATTTTACTTGATGAATCTCTATGAATATATATTTTACTTGATGAATCCCTATATATATATATATTTTACTTGATGTATCCCTATGGATATAGATTTAATTGAAAATATATCTCAAGTGAATCTCATAATGTGTGAGCAATAATGTAGATTTCCCCAGTAACTGTAAGACGTGTGTGTGTGTGACAGCTATGAAGGTCCACATCTCCCTGAGCACCAAGGAACTCTTGGAGAAGGTGGGCGGCTACACCTGTGAGTTCCGAGGCTACCAGGAGGTCAAGGTCGGTCCTCACAGTGTTTTCTGTTTTAGATTTTGCTTCTCAGAACGAAATGTTCATGTAGCACGGGCTATGGTGAGCCCGTAGTTGAGCCCATGTTCGCGATAACCTTGTTACTGTGATATTTGGGTCAGGGATCCTCACACTGCACTACCTTCTACCCTCGCCTGCCTCTCACCTTGCCTACCTTTGCAATCATTACTGAGCCGGTTTTTTTTTATAAGTCTCATCTATCTCTCTCATCCATCATATTTCTCTATCACACTTCTCAATAACAAGTTTAATATATTCACAAAATTCTTTGTACTTGGTTTGAAATTCACAATTTTAATGAACATTTTAGCTCGGTTTAAAAAGATTTGATCCTTTTAAGATTATCGTTCAGTGAAGACATTCGGGAACTCGCTGCCTTATTTTGCATTATTAAATATGTATTGTTATATAATATATTTGACAAAAGTTAAGATTACTTGATGCGTGTTTCTGCGGTGCAGGGTAAGGGCTCCTTGCCCACCTTCTGGCTGTTGAGTGGGCCTTCAGACGTCAGCAAGTGCCTCAGAATTCCCATCGGCAACCATTGAGACTCCCACCCAGATGTCCACTACGCCATCCCTCGCCACGCCAGTCCAGTCAAGTGTCCATGGCAGGGCCATTCAGCAGTGTTCATGGCAGCTCCCTTCAGCAGTGTACATGGCAGGGCCATTCAGCAGTGTCTATGGCAACTCCCTTCAAGAGTGTTCATGGCAACTCCCTTCAAGAGTGTTCATGGCAGCTCAGTTCAGCGTAGCACGTTCGTAAAGATACATGAGGCGTTTGAGGATATAATATGAAAAATGTTTTTCAGACTACTTGACATAAGTTTCTATGCCTAAATAGGTTTATTTCAAGGATTCTACAATGAGTCGTGTGTTTTAAAAATCACTACAGGACACTTGTTAGAATTTAAAGTGACGCAAATCTCACATATCTAAATAAATTTGTCCATAGCAGTTTTGGAAGGTGGTCACAGAACTACATCAGCATAGTTGAAAACATTAATTAATCTTATTACTGCCTTTGTGACAAGGGGTCAATATAGACAACAAATAAAGAAAAAATTAAGTTCCATGCTTAAGCCCATTTTTCAGTAAAACTAATGATAATAGTACTCTATTTCACAGACTTTACATATCCAGATAAGATATTTAGCATTTACAGGAAATACTTTTCCAATAATTCCCCTAAAAAGCTAGGTGTGTTTAACTTTGTCATAGGGATTGAAAGCATCTAAAGTCTATAGAAATTGATGTACATTTAATGCAAAATGTATCTCTTGTGGAGAAAAAAAAGGTCATATTAAAACAGATGTTTATTCAGTTATGTGTAATGATACGGCAATGTACTAGCAACAAATAATGGGACGTAAGTTAATGAAGTCTTTACAAAAGAGGCGATATATGTACCCAGCGAGCACAATATCCCTGAGCGGCGTTGAAATCAACCTTATCAACGTTAATGCAGCGTTGATTCGACGTTGAACTGGCGTTGGATATTGCGTCCATTTGTTAGACGTTGGTGGGGCGTCTCCTGATGGTGCAGGAGGGTATGTGGGCCCGCGGGCCGCTCCAAGCAACAGCCTGGTGAACCAAACTCTCACAAGACAAGCCAGGCCTCGGGCCGGGCTTGGGGAGTAGAAGAACTCCCAGAACCCCATCAAGCAGGGGAAGACGGTTTTCTCCAGCTGCCAGTGGGAGGTGCAGGTGGGGAGGACACCTCCCTGCTGCCCCCTAGGTGGGAGACGCGCCAACATACTATCCATACAGACACCAGACAAAACACTCCATAAGAAAATTGTTACCAAAGTAAATTAGGAAATAATAGAGCATATGAGAACTGTTGAGCTCTTCTCTGTAACAGGAATCTAATAGAAGTATTATATAATATGACTCCAATGGGAATATATTATAAGTTATAGGATTCTAATGGTTTGTTTTATTGGAACTTCTCTTATGTAATGTCGAAAAAATGTGCATTCAGTAAATGGACTGAAAACGCGTTTTTACACCTGGTATTGTGGTAAAGGAAATGTTGATATCACATTCTCGGTTCAGTTAATGATCAAAATCAAGGTATATTCTCACGGTAGCCTCATGCTCCCCTTACCCGTCTCGTGGAGTAGTAATGCCTTGTGTCACTAGGGCCGGGAGATGAAAAGCTTTCTTAAAACTATGCTTGTATAGGCTTACAATACAAAATAAGTACAAAAAAGCATACATTTTATAGCATAAAACGTACTTTATATTTAGCTAACATATACAAATAACAGGGTGTGTGTATATGAAACAGAACAACATGAAACAGAACCTGTATATGTGTTTTGAACTACCAGTTAGCGTCACTAAAGACTGTAATCGGGATTTACTGTCTTACAAGACGTTCTTACCGTCCATTCCCGAGACGTCAGATCGCCTGTTCTAATTAATTACCAACCTGGTTTCTATCTTCGAGTAAATACCCCCCAAAGGATAGACATATTTAGGTGCGGTAGACACAAAGCAAACCCAGACAATTATATTTTAGCCTGAGTCAAAAACCAGACGAGATTGATCACACATTTTAGAAGAATGGCACGCAAGTTCGGGTAAGATCTTGAAAGCAATATAATTTGTTATGATCCGGCAAGAATAATTGCAGTGTAGAGCAATGACATGTAATTCATTGTGTCATGTGTCTTAGATGCAAATTTAATTTTCGTAATTAAAACATTAGGCTATATTAAACAATTTTCATTTGGTATTGTCACACTCACCAACTTAACTACTTGAAAACATGAAGCAACTAGGAGGTTCAGACTGTCGTTTATTCAGAAATAATAGTCGTTAGTCATTTGTTCTTGTCTTTCGTCGTTTAAGCAACAAATCCTTTTCGTTGTTTGAATGTTGTGTTGATTTAGGGGCGACGACGATCGTGGGATCGGATGCGCCCATTTGTTGTTTGAATGCTGGCCGTTCTTTTGTTTAGTTGTTGACGTGGTCATGATGGCTTGTGAGGGCGACCGGTCACGCACACAGGCCCGCCAATGATGGTGCCTGTCATTGATTTTGCTCTGTTTTATATAGGCTTGTGTGTGTGTTGCATGATCGTAGTCTAGTAATCATCTTCCTTGTTGAAGAGGCAGTAGAATATGGACACTAGCAGCATGATAGCTGGAAAACCAAAATTACTGCATTAACTCACTTCATATAATTAACATTTTACGGTAGTCTTTACCCCGTATTGTTTCATGTTGTGGTCTTACGAATATAGCTGACATGTTATGTATTAATATTTTTTCCCAATTTAAAATTTTTAATATATTTAATGCTCCATATATCAATAAAAGGAAGAAAATCAAGCAAAAACCCTAATCAAATCTCTCCTCGGTCTAGTATAGAACATACATGTAATATAATAAGCCTACGACAGTATATATATCAGGTGTAGGAATGCTTATATTGGGCCTAAGCGAGGTATGATTAACTTATTGCATTTTGACATGCCATTTGTATTAAACGTCGGCCTTTTTTTTTGAGTGCCTTAATCTATATTTTGTACGATCATATTGTAAAGTGGACCGTAGGAACAGTGATAGGCTATGACTATGACTGTAAGGACAGGAATAGCCTATGACTATGACAGTAGGGACGGAAATAGTCTGATTATGATTGTAAAAACAGTGATAGTCTATGGTTTTAAGAATAATGATAGTCTCTGACTATCATTGATTACTCACTTCTCCCACAAAATTCCTCATAAAAACTACAGGTCAAAACAGTATGTATGAGAACTTGAAAGTGAAAACAGGATTGTGAGGTACTAACTTCCAATGACGAGAATGATGGGACCGAGGAAACTCATGACCGCCATGTCCTGAATCATAACCATGAGGTAGGAGTCCGTAGGGGCGTAGGCCAGGACCGTCATGATGAAGCCGGACACGAAGAAGGAGAAGCCCAGGTAGGTGAAGATGAGCAGCGGCACCTGCCCCACCGTCGGCTGTAGGACAAACACAAACTTTTAATGATGGGGACGGGTTACATACACCTGGCTACACACGCACACCGTTCACACGTGTATACCTGGCCCGGTATACACCTGGTCACATGGATGCACATTGCCACACACACACACACCTGGCAAAAAAAGAGTGGTTTGAGTCAAGCAACGTGAGAGAGGAGAGAGAGTGGGGGTCTGTAAGGTGATGAGAAAGTGTGGTGGTCCTGAGGGAAGGAGAAGAGTGTGTGGTTGTCCTGTAAGATGAGGGAGAAGAGTGGTAATGATGACGTCATTTCAGTAGCCAATAGCAGACTACAATTTCAAAAGAACTCGACGAGGATGCCGGGAGCCAGTCAGGACCCAGCAGTACGCCACAAGAGCTGGAGGAGGACGGAGTGTAGTAGAACTTCAGTGTTAAGTGCTGTGTCCTTATTTTCGCCTGTGGCTGCTGGTGAAGTGTACAGGCCAAGCTTCCACTTTCCATTTAGGAGACTTTATTTAGCAATGTGGCGGATAACTGTCAGTCGCGTTTTAGTCTAAATAAAAAGCAATTACTGACGTAGCTGAAGGACTGCACGCGCTGACTGATGGCAAGGTTGTGATACTGGTAAGCTACAAGCAAAATTTAACTAATGATTTTCAATTGAAATTTATGCATGAATATTTTGTGATAGCGTTAAATGCGCATATAGCCAATGTCACCAGGTACCTGACAGCTGTTGACAGGCGAGGTGCAAGAGCTGGGTCTGACAAATCTAGGTAAGGTAACACACAAATACAAGCATATTTATTTTATTTTGCCTTGTTAATTTCGTCTTTAAATATTCTTTAAACCTGTTATGCTTACCCAGGTATCTCCCCAGTGACTGACATTTCCCAAGATGCAACACACAACAGTTGCCTAACTCCCAGGATCTGTTCAGGGATGGGGGGGGAGAGGGCATTTTGCGTGAGGCGCGAGCTGTGAGTTCCCTGTGTGAACTATGAGTGGAGTGGGGCGGTACATCATCATTATTTATATGATGATGATGAAAGGGTCCCGATAGTACAGTCGGGTTCGTTCTTGACGCACAGTAAAAAATTCCGGGTTCGAATCCCGGGCGGGACAGCACCAGTAGAGTGGTGTTCCCTGACTAAAGAGAACGAGAACCGCAGACGGTCACCGCAAAGAGTTACTCAAGTAAGCATAAAGATAATGGTGGTCAGAGTTGAGCGGCTGGAACAAGGAATGGAATGGAATGGAACTATCAGGGGGAAAGTGTCAAGCCATTACGACTATATAGCACTGGGAAAGGGTCAGGATAAGGATTTGGGATGGGACAGGGGAAAGGAATGGTGCCAAACCACTTGGACGGTCGGTGATTGAACGCCGACCTGCATGAAGCCAGACCGTCGCTCTACCGTCCAGCCCAAGTGGTTAGACAAGGAGCTGCTACTTACCCGCTCATCATCCATGTCGTACCCCATTTTGCTACTCGAATCTGAAACATAAATAAAAGGCATGTAGCAGATCGCATTTAATTTTGTATATAGCGTTTAATGTTGTTTTATTGATTGTCTAGTGAGCTTGATGCGAGGGGAACTGCTGGAGGGCCAAAGTGGTTGTTACAAAATCTAGATGTGAAATATTGACAATGTCAGTTTACCTTGTTTATCTTTTGGTATAATTTAAGACAATATAAATCCAGCATTCGTATACTATATATACAAGACCGTTGGGTCTGGCCAGTATTGGATGGGTGGCCGCGCTGACGGTCTTGCCCTTGGCTAGGGGGACCCCAATTAATCTAACAGGTCTGTTCCAGCTAATTGGAAGCCGCTGTACAATATTGTATTACAGTTATTTTACAAAATAAATAATTTAATCGTGGATATTTATAGTGACGATAACTTAGTCGTGTAATATTGTATTGTCGTAAATCTATTAGAACAAATCCAAAGGGACCTCCTTGAATAATGGTACCTCACACCCAACCAGCACCTATATGAAAACAAAACTGAAGCAAGCCAGTAGCCTGAGGCCCCCAACGTTGACATCCGTGAGAGAAAGCCAGTAACCATTTAAACTAACACAAACCTGCGCTATTTGGGACGCACAATAGCCAACTAATCACCACACACCTCACTCTTAACAACTCCAACACCAGAATGAAATGACTACTAAACTTAACGTTCCTTCTCATCAATATTCACGGGGCTTCGGTTCTTGAGCACATTATATGCCTCTAATGTTTTCCACTACCAATCGCGTGATGGTGTATTGGGTGCATAATAAATGAACTAATGATTGATGAAGATTAAGCCACCCAAGAGGTGGCACGGGCATGAATAGCCCGTAAGTGGTGGCCCTCTTGAGCCATTACCAGTATCAAGAGCTGATACTGGAGATCTGTGGAGGCGCAACTGCACCCTGCGTGACGGGAGATGTCTCCCGGACCAAATGGTGACCAAATGGTGTAAATGAACTAAACTGACTCGTCCTTTAAATCCCAACTCAATATTCCCACTATGTGCACGCCATCCCTTTTCCCTCCCTTACTCCTTCCCAAATAGACTCATCAACCAAAAACTTCATAAAGATGACAGTTAAGGGATGAAGCACCAGCCGTGTGGGTGTGGCAGCTCCCGCGACCCAAGTCGCCTGATACATGTCATCAGTGCACTCACCAAGGGTGAAAAAATAAGTTATATGTACAGAAAATGAACAAATCCACAAGGTCCGTGACGAGGATTCGAACCTGCGTCCAAGAGCCTCCAGAGCAGAGAGAGCATTCATTTGATGCATCACGCAATTGTGATTTCTGTGTGTATATGTACAGAATATTGCTTAAAGCTAATACTGTTTCATAAGACGACTTTTTTAGTTTTGTATTATAAAGCCTAATGCCTAGACCATGTATTAATACGACTGATGAGCTGCAGGTCGATCAGGACACCTGCGACACCGTCCACGTGCGGTAGAATATGACACTTCTAGACTTATTTTCGCATATATTAAAAAAAATCTAATCTTATTCACGATCTCAACCTGTTATTTTGCTGAATGAAAAAGTTTTATTTTATTTATTTTATTTGTTTATTTCTGTTGGTAAACGTGTTTGGCTTTGTATTATTTTTCAGACCCAAACTCCCTTTACAGTACACATGTAAGCAAATTTCTCGGTAAGAGTAGTGGTAAAGCAGACTATAATGGTCAGCAGCGAGTTGATGCCAGCGCGATCCATTACATTGTGCGTCACAGCGTAAACTGGGGGCTGTAGCACAGTGGTCTGCGTCCTTGCCTCTCAACCAAGGGACCCAAGTTCAATCTGCGCCCAAAATGGATGGGTACGTTTTCTTTCATCTGATGCCTCTGTTCGCTTAGTAGTAAAACACGTATCCGGGAGTCAGGCAACTATTGTGGGTTGCATCATGGGGGGAAGGTCAATAGTAGGCCTAAGTTGAGCTCGATAAGCCTAAGTACTGTCTTCCTGTCCCCGACAACAGGAATTATAAGACGTAGAGCGAGCAGCAGCATAGTAGCCTCATGCACATACACACACTTAGACTCGCCAAAACACTTACCACTTAAACACTTTGCACTAGTGACTGTGAGAGCACTCTCACCAACACTCGCTCGGCAAGTCGCCACAACTGGCTCCCTAGTATCTTATCAGCGACGGCCAACCTACCATATCTATGTTATCACCGGCACCACAGCCTGAACCCACATCCGTGATCTAACACGCGCACTAAGGAACCCCATTGATCACAGTTTGTTGAATCCAAAATAGATACGTTCTTCAGTAAGCGGACCTGCGAACAGTAATAGTTTGATTAACCAAGGAATCGCGGCTTCAAACCTGGCTGCAAAAGAAGTAGATTGAAAACAGTCACAGGTAAAAGAAAATGTGTGTATCAAGAAAATGTCGTCATTCGTAATCACAAGTTGATAACGTTCACGGATTTGTGCCGTTCACATATATGCAGGTGTTTCTTTGTGCTGTTCACATATATGCAGGTGTTTCTTTGTGTCGTTCACATATGTACAGGTGTTTCTTTGTGCCGTTCACATATATGCAGGTGTTTCTTTGTGTCGTTCACATATGTACAGGTGTTTCTTTGTGCCGTTCACATATATGCAGGTGTTTCTTTATCGTTCACATATATGCAGGTGTTTCTTTGTGTCGTTCACATAAATACAGGTGTTTCTTTGTCGTTCACATACGTGCAGGCAGTTGTGGATCTCCCCCACCCCCCCAATACCCATCCTGTGGTGGTAGATTTCATAGCAATCTTGTGGGTGGTTGAGGACCCGTTACCCCATCTTGTGGGAGTAGTAAAGGACCCCATAACCCATCTTGTGGGGTGATCCTTTCACCTAATGTATCTGTTCACCTAGCAATAAGTAGGTACTCAAGAGTTAGTCAGCTTGTGGGGTTGCATCCTGGGCGGGGTCAGTAATGGGGGACCCCTCGATATAACTAACGTGTATGAATACACTCAGGCTGCCATGAATACACTCAGGAGGTGGAGTAGCCATATATGTTAGGGACAATTTGAAATGTAGTCTCAAAGAGGGAATCAAAACAGAGCCACACACAGAAACTATTTGGATTGAATTAAACGAAAAAGCAAATAATATTATAATAGGAGTAATATATAGGCCACCAAATTTAGACAGAATGGAAGCAAAGCATCTATGGGATGAAATATCTAGAGCATCTAGATCTAACAGTATTTATGTCATGGGTGACTTTAATTTTAGCGGAATAAACTGGTTGAACAAAACAGGGAATAGTGAAGCAGAAGATTTTCTAGAATTAATTGACGATTGCTTTCTTACGCAACACATTAAGGAACCAACACGGGAAAATAATATTTTAGATTTAGTGTTAACTAACAGGGAAACGCAAATTAATGACATCGAAATAGGGAGTGAGCTAGGGAGCAGTGATCACAAAGAAATCAGATTTAGCATAGAATGGAATAGACCAGTAGGAGAAAATTCTGTTAAAGTGCCAGATTTTCGAAAAGCTGATTTTAATAGCCTAAGAAATTTTTTGGGTCAAATTGATTGGAAAGGCTTGGGTATGGGGTGTGGGCCGGTCTTGGAGCGAGACATGAACCCAGCGATAGGTGACTTAAATGGGGATTTCGATGTGGATTCAATATATAACTTATTTAAGAATATTCTAAACAAAGCACAGGAACGTAGTATACCATACAAATTGAATAGATCGTATACTAATGACCCAAAGTGGATAACAAAGAATTTGAAGAACCTTATAGGTAAAAAGAGAGCTTGGTACAAAAGGATTAAAAATGGGGAGGTCACTTTAGAACAGGAATTCGTACAGCTGGTTAGAAATGTTAAAAAAGAGATAAGGAAAGCAAAAAGAAACTATGAAGTTCGCATAGCAGGGCAAGCAAAGACAAATCCTAAAGGGTTTTTTCAGTTATATCGTACTAAGACTAGGGAAAGGATAGGTCCATTAAAAACTGAGACAGGTCAAATAACAGATAGTGATGAAGAGATGAGTAGTATTTTTAATAAATATTTTGTATCTGTATTTATTAAAGAGGAACTTAACAATATGCCTTCAGCCGAACAAGTCTATGTGGGTG